AAAAAAAAAAAAAGTAGGCTGGGCGTGTTGGTTCATGCCTGTAATCCCAGCACATTGGGAGGCTGAGGCAGGAGGATCACAAGGTCAGGAGTTTGAGACCAGCCTGACCAACATAGTAAAACCCCATCTCTACTAAAAATACAAAAATTAGCTGGGCGTGGTGGCACACACCTGTAATCCCAGTTACTCAGGGGGCTGAGGCAGGAGAATCGCTTGAACCCAGGAGTAGAGGTTGCAGTGAGTGGAGATCACACCATTGCACTCCAGCCTGGGCAAGAGAGCTAGACTCCATGTCAAAAAAAAAAGTAGACATTATATGTACAGATTTGATTATATCTAACATTTTTAGAAAGAATACTTCAGTAACATTGATAGGTTATAGCATTTCAGGTTAGGCACTTAATTTCAGCTTGTCTCACTACTAGTAATGCTAAATTTGGTCACATGGTTAAGTTGATGACCTCCTTCCCACTGTCTCCACTGAAAATGGACACACATCCTTTGCACTTTATAAGTTAATCTACAAATAACCTGTTCAACAACTTTTCATCTTACAGTGTGAACACCATTTGTGATCTTCTCCTGAGTCGGTTATTTCACTGGGGGCTGCAAAAATGGTGTTCTAACTATAGTAGTCTGTATTTATTAACTAGCATTTTATGTAAAGAAGAGCTTTTTTTTTTTTTTAGATGGAGTTTTCCCTCTTCTTGCCCAGGCTGGAGTGCAATGGCACAATCTCAGCTCACTGCAACCTCCACCTCCGGGTTCAAGTGATTCTCCTGCCCCAGCCTCCCAAGTAGCTGGGACTGCAGGCATACACCAACACACCCTGCTAGTTTTTGTATTTTTAGTAGAGATGGGGTTTTGCCATGTTGGCCAGGCTGGTCTTGAACTCTGACCTCAGGTGATCCCACAGGCCTCAGCCTCCCAAAGTGCTAGGATTAGAGGCATGAGCCACTGCATCCAGCCAAGCTTTCTTTCTTTTAAGAGATGGGGGTCTAGCTCTGTCTCCCAGGCTGGAGTGCAGTGGCACCATCAGAGCTCACTGAAGCCTCACCCACCTAGGTGCAAGCGATCCTCCCACCTCAGCCTTCTGTGTTGCTGGGACTACAGGCACATGCCACCATCCTCACTAAGAGCTTTCTTTTAAGAAAACTATTTTAGTGAATTTCTCAGTGGACTACTGGGTAGTGGTTTGTTTTCAATTTCATTGAAAGCACTTGGAAAGCTCCTGATTTTTAAAAGGATTTGTTACCCAAGTATTGGAGCTATTCACTTTCTCAATACTATCTCCAGTATTTTCAGTTATTTCTATGTTTGGTCCCCAGGAGGTTTTTTAATTCAGGCAATGCAGGATTTGAGGTAAAGGTGGAAAAGAGGGTCAGCAGTCTATGGTAAGATGAAAGAAAAGCTAGGTGGAAACCAAGAACCAGCATGACATCTCGACTGCTCTAGTTCTCAGAAAAGCAGTTTTAAAATGCATACTTGTAGAAGTTGAGGATCTGGAAATTAGTTCCCACAAAACTCTGCATGCTTTGGGACCCTTTGGAAAGTTTTTGTGTGAAGCCAGAGCTCTACAGGACAGAACACTGAGCAAAGTCTTCCAGGTTTGGTTGATGACAAGCTAAGAGCAGAGCTAAAGGAATTTAGACTGGCTTTGGAAACGTTAGCCTGGATTTCAAGCCTATTGTCTTGTTCCTATTTTGAATTCAGAGGCCAAATACTAATTTCTTTTTTTCCATTCCTTTTGTAACATCTAAACAGTGCCAAAACCCTATCTCCAGGGCAAATGGACTTCCCAGGCAGATGAGAAAAATATCACATTACTCATGTTCAAAATATTACCTCAGTTACACAAGCATTGTGGAATTCTGTGCGTTTGGATGGAAGACAACTGTTTCTTTATCTTCTTCAAATGTCAGGAGTAAGTTTGGTGATTATAAGTACAATATATTTTAAGCAGAATTAGTGTGATATATAACATGTTTTATGACCACCCTTAATAAAATTTTGGGTTATGATTCCTTATAAAATGATTTTTAAATATCATTAAGCCATAATATATACATGCAGTCATCCTGGAAGGAATAAATGCTTTGGTCATTTTTTTGGTTTCAGATAATTTAAAGCAATCTTTTTGATTTCTCATGTCAAGGGGCCATAGTAGCAAGTCACAACACATTAAATCGACCAGTTATTTTAGTCTAATCCATTATTCATGATGCAGAATAGTACACTATGCCTGCTCTGGAGGCTGAGTCAGTGGTTCCAAATCCTGGCTCCCACACTATGCAGCTTTGGGCACATTACTTATCCTCCCTAAGCCTCCATTTCTTCGTCTGTGAAATAGAAATGCCAGTAATAATATTCATCTCGTTGGGTTGATAGGATTAAATGATATAATGTATATAAATATCTGGGCACATGTTAAATGTTAGTTGTTCTTATTGTCATCGTATTTATTCTTGACTAAGAGAGGAGATGACATCCAAGTCACCAGCCTGCTGACTCAAAGAATTTCTTCAAACACTTATCTAACTTTCTTGATAAATGAAATTTCTTAAAATGTCAAGTGTTATAATTAACAGTTGAATTTCTCTGAGTCTTACATAGAAAACTAGAATTAACCTCACTCCTCCTAAAATAAAAGTAGAAAATATGATCAGGATATTGATCCAGGAAGGACCTTTGGTTTCTTGAAATTATACTCCAGCTTCCCTGTGCCACCTCTTTCCTTACAAAGTTTTCATTTCTGTACATGCGAGTCAGCATTCCTCTTCAAAAAAATAAATATTCTGAATTGCCTGGTTAGGATTCTGAGTTAGAAACAACTAGTTATAGGCCAGTGTTATAAGATAAATGTATAGTCAGTTTATATTTCTGACTTGGAGTAATCCAAATACTACCCAAGCATTAACAAAATTTATATTTATTTAAAATAATTTGGCAACTCACATTAAAAGAAAATTTGTCTTTTCTCCCATTGTATTATAAAGAATCCTCACATTATTCCTTGTATCAACAATTAGGTGTGACTCCAAAGTATCTCCCAATTAAGGCTGTTAGGACTTAGCTAATGGCTTCCCAAAAGTCAGATCTTCTAAACTGAGGAGAAACAGATTTCTTAAGTTCTTTCCACCATCCTGTGATGGCACTTTATGGTCATTCTATGAAGCTGGAATTTTCATTCAGTTGCACCTAACTAGATTTTTTTTTTTTTTTTTTTTTTTTTTTTTTTTTTTTTTCTGAGACAGAGTCTCACTCTGTCACCAGACTGGAGTGCAATGGCATGATCTCAGTTCACTGCAAACTCCGCCTCCCAGGTTCAAGCAATTCTCCTGCCTCAGCCTCCTGAGCAGCTGGGATTACAGGCGTGCATCACCATGCCCAGCTAATTTTTGTATTTTTAGTAGAAACGGGGTTTCACCATGTTGGCCAGGCTGGTCTCGAACTCCTAACCTTATGATCCACCTGCTTTGGCCTCCCGAAATGCTGGGATTACAGGTGTGAGCCAATGTGCCTGGCCCCTAACTAGATTGATTGATTGATTGATTGATTGATTGATTGATTTTTGAGATAGAGTCTCACTCTGTTTCACAGGGTGGAGTGCAGTGGTGCAATCTCAGCTCACTGCAACCTCCACCTCCTGGGTTCAAGCAGTTCTCTGCCTCGGCCTCACTAGTAGCTGGGATTATAGGCACTCAGGATTATGCCCAGCTAATTTTTGTATTTTTAGTAGAGATGGGGTTTCACCATCTTGGCCAGGCTGGTATTGAATTCCTGACCTCGTGATCCACCCACCCCAGCCTCCCAAAGTGCTGGGATTACAGGCATGAGCCACCGTACCTGGCCGCCTAACTAGATTTTTAAGGAAAAAAAGCAGAGGAGGATGGGGAGAATAACTGTTGCAGTGTCCATACTAATTCCTAGAATCCTTTCAAGATTTAGGATCAGCAACAATCTAATTTGGCTCTGAGAATACTAGCTGAAATCCCTCCTCAGCAATTCAGTCCTTTTCCCTCTGCCTTTCTTTAGTCAGCAGGGTCCCATGGTGACCGGTTTTAAAAGAAATTATCCTCTTCAGCAGTTACCTAGCACCATGGCAACCAGGACGTCAGCAAAGCAGCATAGACCCTGCACAAAACAGCTCCAACCAGGCTCCCTCCCTCCTTCTCCACTTCAGTCCTGCCTGAGGCCTAGGGATGGGGCTAATGACATCTGCATTTGTACATCCAATAATTCCTATGTGTTTCTGTGGTTTTTCCCATAAGCATAGATATTTGGGCATACTGTAAACTATATTATAGAAATCTCCCTTCCCCTGCACAAAAGAAGCATAGATCATATTTAATGGGTGGGGACGTGTGATGGAATGGGGACAGGGAGGTAGGTATGAGATGGTCTTTTGGGTTTAAGGAAATATAAAAATCATGTTTGAGTTTATAAGGTAACAGTAAGCTGATAGTAGGGGAAGTCAGAGCCCTAAACATATGGTATGGTTTATATTTAGGCATAGGACCTCAGGGAAATTTTAAAAAATATTTGTATTTACTTGTGAGTGAATTAGACAATGGCTTTAACAAGCACTGAAGGGGTTGCAATGCTGTCCGTGGTGCTGAACACTCCATTGTCCCAGATGTGTGCTAAGGGGGGGATCCAGAGGGAGATTAAGGAACACCTTGCCAGGTCAGGGTACTGACTGAAAGAAAGAGAGGGGTTGAGGAGAAAGCATCATTTATCTCCCATATGGAGCAACTCCGAATGCTCAGGATAAAATCTTCAGATGGAAAAAAGAGAAAGTAGAGAAGGCAGGGGGTTTGGGTGATTGAATCTTCCCCTTTTCATATGGAGATTTTTGGCCGGAGCCAATCAGGGCAGAGATTTCTGCTGCTTTGCTCCCGAAAGGAAAAGTGGGGGAAGGGAGAGAGAAGATGGCTACATTCTCTCCTTCAGCCACATGATCCATTTCCCATGTGACACATTCCAGAGCCTTAGAAAGGAGAAGGGAGGGGCATCAAGAGAGTGGGGCTGGGGGCGGGAAGATGGTTTAACAGTCTACCCTGCACAGCGTCATCTTGTCTCCCTAACAGGAAGCAGGCTGTGAGCCAAGGGGAAGGCAGAGGACAGAAATGAATGTGTTTCCAGGCTTTCTTGGTGGTTTATGGCATTCTCCAAACTCCTATGCAAGGGCTATTCCTGACCAAGAAGATCTAAGGAGAACGTCTCTGAAATCAAGTCCGGATGAAGGTATGTGATAGGGATCCCTTGGTATTGCGACTGAAATTTGACTCAGAGGACATAATACCTTCTTTTTTTCCAGGCAATTTGGAGATTTTTATCCTGCCTTAGATGCTGGTTAGGGGCTTTAGATTTGTTACCAGTCCAGAAAAGATACCTAGGGAGTTCTGTAAAATGATAATTCGTCAGAGTATGTGCCTGTTGAAAAACTGGATGGAAATTGTGTATAGTGATAATTAATGAAACAAAGCATTCATTGATGAAAAGGATTTTTCCCCCTTGAATCCTGGAAAGAGGGAAAAAAAATTACCGAAACCAACTAGGTTTCATCATCACTGCAATAAAAGCCTGTTTCATCCCTTTTCAGCTGCTTATTCTATGCCCATGTTCCTAGAGGTTATTGGCAGTGGCTTGGGGAGCCGAAGTGGGCAGGTGTGCTACTCCTTTGCGCTGTGCGATCATCTTCCTTCTGATGTTCCTGGTACCAGGAGTCTCGTGATTGTTCCCAGCTCTGATTTAGGACAGTAGACTGCCACAGAATTTCACATCTTGTAGAATTGCTAGCAACAAGGCCCTGGGGAGGTTCTCAAAGGAATCTTCCAAAGTTACAGGCTAAAATCATCAACCATGAACTCAAATTTTCATATCTTTGACTATTTCCAGAACAAAGAGAGGAGCTAGCAAATTTAAATTTTATTTTGTATTTATTTAACAGATACTTAGAAAGTTCTTGCTATGTGCAAGGCACTGTTCTAAGCACAAACAGTCATTGAATCCTTATAACAACACTTTGAGGAAGATTTTATTACCCACATTTTAAAGATGAAGAAACAGAGGCACAGAGAAGTTAGGGAACTTTCCAAAGGTCACACAGCTAGCAAATAGTAGAAGCAGAAATTGGACCTATGAAGCTTGACCCCAAAGCCCATGCTCTTAACCACTGAGCTTTGCTGCCTGCCTGCTCATATTATTTCAAATGATGTCAGTGTCAGTTTGGCTTCAAATTTTGTTCAGCTGATGCTACTAGAAGATTGAATTGGCTTGCTTTGCTAAAAGGGATCCCCAGAGAAAACTATATTTAATCTTAAATTATCCCTATAGTCACATTCTGTACCCCCAAGTAACTTAGTAAGTAATTGCTGTTCTATTTCTCTTGTGCTGTATAGATCTCTATAGTAAAACACTACGTTACTATGGTGACCAACAGATGTCTAAAGAAAAAAGAAATCTAGAATTTTATCATGGGTTTTTAAAAATCAAACCTAGAAACACTCTTCCATCCTCAGAACCTAGTAAGACCAGCCTAAGCATATTGTCTTTAAAAGCACCTACCTAGTTCTCAAAATAAAATAAATAGATTAAAAACTTCTGAAATTGGCCGGGCACGGTGGCTCAAGCCTGTAATCCCAGCACTTTGGGAGGCCGAGGCGGGTGGATCACAAGGTCGAGAGATCGAGACCATCCTGGTCAACATGGTGAAACCCCGTCTCTACTAAAAATACTAAAAAAAATTAGCTGGGCATGGTGGTGTGTGCCTGTAATCCCAGCTACTCAGGAGGCTGAGGCAGGAGAATTGCTTGAACCCAGGAGGCGGAGGTTGCGGTGAGCCGAGATCGCGCCATTGCACTCCAGCCTGGGTAACAAGAGCGAAACTCCGTCTCCAAAAAAAAAAAAAAAAAAAAAAAAAAAAAAAAAAAAAAAAAAAAAACTTCTAAAATTATGTATATAAACTATAATATCAAACTGACTGGATTTATTGTTTTAAATGATGTTATCATACCTTAAAGTAAGGGAACAGATTTCTTTTGCAAATTATTTTAGGTTTTTAAGGATAAAAGAGGAGCTTTGCTAATAACTTTAACTGCTAGAAATTTCTGAGATACAAAGATTTCCTTTTTTTGATCTGTGTAGATTTCCTTCTGGTCTTTGATAATAAAAGATGACTGATCTGACTCCTATAAGCTATGGAAAAACTGAGAGAAGCTACTAGTTCCCTTCACGGTTTTATTGCACAGTACTTTAAAAAGTAATTGTGGGCCGCGCACGGTGGCTCAAGCCTGTAATCCCAGCACTTTGGGAGGCCGAGGCGGGTGGATCACAACGAGAGATCGAGACCAACCTGGTCAACATGGTGAAACCCCGTCTCTACTAAAAATACAAAAAAAAAAATTAGCTGGGCATGGTGGCACGTGCCTATAATCCCAGCTACTCAGGAGGCTGAGGCAGGAGAATTGCCTGTACCCAGGAGGCGGAGGTTGCAGTGAGCCGAGATCGCGCCATTGCACTCCAGCCTGGGTAACAAGAGCGAAACTCTGTCTCAAAAAAAAAATAAATAAATAAAAAATTAAAAAATTTAAAAAAAGTAATTGTGTTCCCTACAATATTTAACTTTAGTCTTTAAGCTTAAGCCTTTGATCCCTGCTGAAATCTACATTTCCCTGGGACAACTAACACTTTTATGCTATTATAGTCACAGGAAGTGAGTTCTTGAGGGACAATATCCTTTCCTCTTTGGATTTCTAGCCCTCATCACCAGGCCTTGTTTATGGTTGAGCTCTCAATACATGGTGAATGAAGACTGGGAAGAGTCAAAACAATGACAGTATTCTGCTGGTGCTAATTTGGGAGTCCATGCCTGTTTTATTTTGCGTGTGTTTTTAGGGATGACAGGAGACACATGTGTAGTAAGAATTTGTCAACAGTCAAAATTATTCCTGAAGTTTATGTAGTTAGGCTGGCCCTGGAACAGCAGCAAATTAGGGTTTAGAAAGTACACCTAAATTATTTCCTGGAGATCACCAATTCCCCTGACATTTTTATTAACATTTAGAATGGAGTTCGTCTGATATTTTTATTCATATCTAGATGGAACCACCCCTAACAGTCTTACTTTCCTCTGATGTTTTGCATGGTCCCATCTCCCAGTGTGGAAACAGTTCAACTCGGTTTGAGAGTGAATGTCTTGAGAAGTCAACTCCTGCCCCAGGCAATTCTCTCCTAATTCAGTCTGGCTCCCCGTCCTTAGAACTCCGTATAGAAAGCTCACAGGACTGCAGGACTCTTTCCCAGGGAACTCTGGGATCTTGAGTGTCAGTGTGGGTTAGGGTCAGACTGCCTTTCCCAAACCATGGCAGTTAGGACCGAATGAAGAAACTTGTCCTGGGGCATTTTGAAAGCTTGGTCAGGATTTAAATTCAAGTTCTCAAGATAGTGAGGCTTAAAATAGTCACCCTCCTGATAATATCCACAAACATAACCTATGATTTTTCCATCTAATTAAATCATTAAGGGGTTGTGGATAAGGTGCAGGTCCTTGAATTCTACCAGCATATGCTGCTCACCTCAAGCATTACCTGCTGAGCGAGCTGCACAAAAGAAACAACAGCCCTGATGGAAGCACTAACCAGCTGGCAAGTGCTCCATGCCCCACACACATCCCGGGCTTCTCAGATAGGCAGGCCTAGCACTCACATGAGCCATGGATCTGGAAGCCTAGCTGGGCTTCCTACGCAGCCCTCTGGAATCTAAAAGGGGGCAACCTACTCAACCAGCTAAATGGGAGGATAGAACAGAGGGAGAGAAAGTGGAGAGGCTTCCCCTTAAGAAGAGGCCTTGCCAAGTATGATTTCAACCTAGAGGTGATGGGTGAAAGCAGAAATAAGAAGAGGGAGAATGAGCTAGGGTGAAGAATATGAAAAAGTGATACCTGTGTCCTGCCTTTCAGAAACAACGGCTTGCCTGCAAGTAAACCCTGCCAAATGAGTCAGGGCCTGCCAGGGGGATGATCAAATCCCTTCCTAGGGTGTATGTAGGGAGGGGAGAGAAGAGATAGAAGGACCTAAGTGTGGATGCAGTTTCTTCTCTATCAGCCAAGGTAAAAAAATGGGATGACATGGGAGTTGTGCTCTCTAAGAGGATGGTTTAAAAAGAAAAAAGGGAGGCTGAGTGCCATAACTCACACCTGTAATCCCAGCACTTTGGGAGACTAAGGCGGGAGGATTGATTGAGCCTAGGAGTTTGAGACCAGCCTAAACATAGGGAGACCTTAGGCCGGGCACAGTGCCTCATGCCTGTAATCCCAGCACTTTGGGAGGCCGAGGTGGGCGGATAACTTGAAGTCAGGAGTTTTAGGCCAGCCTGGCCAAAATGGTGAAACCCCCAACTCTACTAAAAATGCAAAAATTAGCCAGGCATGGTGGCAGGTGCCTATAATCTCAGCTATTCAGGAGGCTGAGGCAGGAGAATCACTTGAACCTGGGAGGCAGACGTTGCAGGGAGCTGAGATTGCACCACTGCACTCCAGCCTGGACGACAGAGCAAAACTCTGTCTCAAAAAAAAAAGAAAAAAAGGGAGATCTACAAAAATAGCTGGGTATGGTGGCATGCGCCTGTGGTCCCAGCTACTCAGGAGGCGGAGGTGGGAAGATCGAATGGGCCTGGGAGATTTAGGGTGTAGTGAGCTGTGATCACTCTACTGCACTCCAGCCTGGGTGACAAAGTGAGACCGTATCTCAAAAAACAAAAAATAAAAGGCAAAGGGGGAGTTACCATCATGAATATATTTCCCTGTTTGTAGAGTCATTTTCCCTTGGCCAAACCTTTAAAGCAGTTATCTCCTGGAGCCTTTTATTCAGTATACTCTCCCAGACACTGCAAGTCTGTCATGTTTAATTCTCATAGCAACTCTCTGTGATATGCATTATTAGCCCTAGCTTTGGCTGAGGAAACTGAAGCTCAAAGAGGTTAACTTACCTGCTCAATGTCCACAGGCAGCAAGTGGAGTCAGGATCTGAATCTAGGTCTTTTCATTCTGTGCTCTTTTTACTATATCACAAGTAAATTTCTTTTCTCTGCATTCTTTTGAAACATTTTTGGATATCAGATCAATACAAATATCATTCTAGAAAATTTGGACAGTATAAAGCAGTATAAAAGGATAATGAAAATAAAAATCAGTGTGATCTTGCCACCTGGAAACAATCACTGTTAAAATTTTGGTGTATTTCTTC